ATCGACCTATACAGATCTACGTTGGTAATATGTGCAAAATTTCGTGGTAATACCGATATTTTTGCTGAAGTTATTAACGATAAATCTATTTCCGAGAATATGTACCTTTGTATGGGGGCTATGAGAAATTTTAAATCGATTGTTTTGAGTTTGAACATTTTTGATCCCTGGGTAAAGAAAATAACGTGAGACAAAATTCATTCCATATCTTTAGTAGTTTCTGAGAAAACTACTCAAGATTTAGGGAAAAAAAAATTATTTTTTTGCGAGGTAGTCTGAAATTTTTACTCATAACTTTTTACGTTGTTAACCGATTTGGCTGATTTTCAAAACCAAACTGCTTAGGACAATAGTGAATATTTTCAGTAAATTTGGTTGATTTATTTTGCTTAGTTTTAACGTGAGAGTGTTTGAGGCAGACAGACGGACGGACACAGTTAAATCTAATCAGAATTTAATAAGGATCCGTAATATGTATGTATACTATGTTGGGTCTCAGATGAATATTTCTTGGTGTTACACACGGAATGACAAACTTATATATACCCTCTATCACCACTGATGGTGGTGGAGGTTGTAAAAAAGGCTTTATATAGCTAATAAGTGAAAAAAATAAATTTAAATTTAACAATTAAGAGTGTTATATTCGGCTGTGCCGAATCTCATATACACACCATCAAACCATATGCCGTAAAAGGAATGCTCCCCTATAAACATCAGCGTGATATTTGGAATATGGCTTAAGTCAATTATGGCCCGAGCTCTTTTGAACTAACAAAATATTAATTAAAAAAAAAAAACAAATATTTTATTTCAATTCTTAAACCGTGAGCGTCAATTATGAACCGATACTCATACAATTTTGTACATAGATTATGTATAGAACTTGTTTATGCAAAATTTCAGCGCTATACTCGTATTTTAAATAAGGAACACTCGTAGTTATTAACCAAAACTCTTTCCTGAAGGGAACCTTTTGTGTATTACCAACACATTCCGCATGAAATTCGGAGCGAATTTCATAACCGTATTTCATAACTCATATTTTTAAGACAGTAATGATCGTTTAAGTAATTTTCTGAACGGGACCTTATATGGGCGGTAGGGTAAATTATGGACCGATCCTCCCTAAATTTGGTGGAGAGAGTTTGGCACGCATTAAACTTATGTGCGTCAATTTTCGTCACATTCATATTTTTAAGCGAGTAATGAGCATTGTAGTTATTTGCAGAGGGGGACCTTATATGGGGGAAGGGTCATTTATGGGCCGATCCAAAAAAATTGGTACAGAGGTTTTGGCTCGTAAGAAACTTACGTGTGTAGCATTTCATCGCTTTACTCGTATTTTTAAGACAGTAATGAGCGTTTAAGTTATTTCCTGAAGTGGACCCAATAGGGGGAGTAGGGCCAATTATGGACCTATCCACATAAAAGTTATTAAAAAGATTTTGGCTCGCGAGGAACTTAATTGTGTAAAATTGTTTTGCTATATTCATATTTTTTAGCCAGTAATGAGCGTTAAAGTAATTTTCAGAAGGGGACCTTATATGGGGGGTAGGGTCAATTATGGACCGATCCTTAAAAAGTTTGGTAGAAAAATTTTGGCTCACATGAAACTTATTTATGTCGAATTTCATCGCTATACTTGCATTTTAGGGCCAGTAATAAGTGTTAAAGTCATTTTCAGGAGGGGACCTTATATGGTGGGTAGGGTCATTTATGAGCCGATCCTAAAAAAAATTGATTAAAAGGTTTTGGTTCATAAGTTATACTGAATTTCATCGCAAAACTCGAATTTTTAGGCTAGTAATGAGTGTTAAAGTCATTTTCTAAAGGGGACCTTATATAGGGGGTAGGAACATTTATGGGCGGATCCTAAAATAAATTGGTAGAGAGATTTTGGTTCGTAAGAAACATACTTATACCGAATTTCATCGCTATACTTGCATTTTGGGACCAGTAATGAGTGTTAAAGTAATTTTCAGAAGGGGACCTTATATGGGGCGTAGGGTCATTTATGGGCCGATCCTCAAAAAATTTGATAGAAAGATTTTGGCTCACATTAAACTTATTTATGTCGAATTTCATCGCTATACTCTTACTTATAAAACAGTTATGCCCGTTAAAGCTGTTTTTTGGAGGTCCACTTGTATGGGGGCTATCCGAAAAATTGGACCGATATTGCCCATTTTCAATACCAAACAAACCTTAACAATAGAGAAATTTCAACTGTCTAGCTCCTCTCGTGTGGTCCCTATCGTGATTTCAACAGACAGACGGACAGACGGACGGACATAGCTAGATCATCTTAGAATTTAATAAGGACCCGGAATATATATACTTTTATGGGTCTATGACCAATATTTCGATGTGTTACTAACGGAATGACAAAATCAATATACCCCCATCTTTTTTGATGGTGGGTATAAAAAATCTACATTTCAAACATCCACACAATTCGTGCATAAGTTGTATTAAAACGCCAAAAAAAACTACTTGAATATGAAAAAATTAACATATTCATCCTCCATTAATAATTACTCAATATTTCAACTTGGCAATTAAATATTTAAAATAAAATAATATGTGGATTTAATTAAAAATTTTAAAAAAGATAATAATAAAATATTTTCAACAACTGGCGGAAACATCAGCAATTACCGATTGATAGAAGGAACCATAACCAGGTGATTCATCAAGTAAACTGATAAACTGCTTGTACGGTAATACAATTCATCTTAATTCGAACCTTAGGAACATCATAATTTAAATTAATATATTTTTTAGTTTTCCCTTTAGTTTGAGATCTCTGCACACAGTAACAATATTTTTTGCAGCTAAAGTTAAATGGTCATTTAAATACACCCTCGATTCAATACTGCATCCAATAACATCTTTAAGTAGAATAAAACGATTTTTATGATAATTAATCATCATTTGGTCCCGGATCTCCACCAAAATACATACAGTGCTGTATATCACAACTGGATAACACCTCATAAGGACCTCAAATTCACAATATTTTTTGGCAAACCTCTAATTATAATGTTAGATCTATTCAGGCGCCTTTGGTCTATATTAGATTGTAGTTCCAATTTGTGTATTTTTGCCTCGATCGCATCATCAACTTGTTTGATCATATTAAAACAATTTTTAATGTCAGATTCCATTTCTTTAATTGTCGACTTGTTATCAAGACATTGCTTGATCAGCTCATCCATTTGCATTTTAAGGACATTAACTGCAGCATCTAGTTTTTCTTGAAGGACACGTTTATATTCATCCAGTTCTAAATCAAATTCTTTCTTCAAGGATGTAGATAATGTGGAGAAGCCTTTTTATACCCACCATCAAAAAAGATGGTGGGTATATTGATTTTGTCATTCCGTTTGTAACACATCGAAATATTGGTCATAGACCCATAAAAGTATATATATTCCGGGTCCTTATTAAATTCTAAGGCGATCTAGCCATGTCCGTCCGTCTGTCTGTTGAAATCACGAAAGGGACCACACGAGAGGAGCTAGACAGTTGAAATTTTGCATAAATATTCTATATTGTTATGGGGGCTTTTTCGGATAGCCCCCATACAAGTGGACCTCCAAAAAACAGCTTTAACGGGCATAACTGTTTTATAAGTAGGAGTATAGCGATGAAATTCGACATAAATAAGTTTAATGTGAGCCAAAATCTTTCTACCAAATTTTTTGAGGATCGGCTTATAAATGACCCTACGCCCCATATAAGGTCCCCTTCTGAAAATTACTTTAACACTCATTACTGGTCCCAAAATGCAAGTATAGTGATGAAATTCGATATAAGTATGTTTCTTACGAACCAAAATCTCTCTACCAATTTTTTTTTAAGATCGGCCCATTTTTTTTACTGGCCCTAAAATGCAAGTATAGCGATGAAATTCGACATAAATAAGTTTCATGTGGGCCAAAATTTTTCTACCAAATTTTTGGAGGATCGGTCCATAATTGACCCTACCCCCCATATAAGGTCCCCTTTAGAAAATTACTTTAACACTCATTACTGGTCCAAAAATGCGAGTATATCGATGAAATTCGACATAAATAAGTTTCATGTGAGCCAAAATTTTAGTACCAAATTTTTTTAAGATCGGCCCATAAATGACACTATCCCCCATATAAGGTCCCCTTCTGAAAATTACTTTAACGCTCATTACTGGCTAAAAAATATGAATATAGCAATACAATTTTACACAATTAAGTTCCTCGCGAGCCAAAATCTTTTTAATAACTTTTATGTGGATAGGTCCATAATTGGCCCTACTCCTACTATTGGGTCCACTTTAGGAAATAGCTTAAAAGCTCATTACTGTCTTAAAAATACGAGTAACGCGATGAAATGCTACACACGTAAGTTTCTTACGAGCCAAAACCTCTGTACCAATTTTTTTTGGATCGGCCCATAAATGACCCTTCCCCCATATAAGGTCCCCCTCTGCAAATAACTACAATGCTCATTACTCGCTTAAAAATGCGTGCCAAACTCTCTCCACCAAATTTAGAGAGGATCGGTCCATAATTTACCCTACCGCCCATATAAGGTCCCGTTCAGAAAATTACTTAAACGATCATTACTGTCTTAAAAATATGAGTTATGAAATACGGTTATGAAATTCGCTCCGAATTTCATGCGGAATGTGTTGGTAATACACAAAAGGTTCCCTTCAGGAAAGAGTTTTGGTTAATAACTACGAGTGTTCCTTATTTAAAATACGAGTATAGCGCTGAAATTTTGCATAAACAAGTTCTATATATAATCTATGTACAAAATTGTATGAGTATCGGTTCATAATTGACGCATACGGTTTAAGAATTGAAATAAAATATTTGTTTTTTTTTTTTTAATTAATATTTTGTTAGTTCAAAAGAGCTCGGGCCATAATTGACTTAAGCCATATTCCAAATATCACGCTGATGTTTATAGGGGAGCATTCCTTTTACGGCATATGGTTTGATGGTGGGTATATGAGATTCGGCACAGCCGAATATAACACTCTTACTTGTTTCAATTCATCTTGAATATTACTAGTGTGACTCAAACTCGGACAAGTCTCACAAATAAATTTTATAGTTCTGTGTAGTGTCAGTGTGGTAAAATAAACCACAACAAGCACAACCTACTGACTATTGTGACTTAGTTACATGTTGAGGCGCCATTATAGTAAAAGATGAGAAAAAAAGTTACAGTGTACAGTGTATATGTGAGACACTGTATGTTTGTACAGCAGAAGACAACCAAATCAAAGAGGCAGGAACAAATAATACAGGGGGCTAATTACCGCAGTCGAACACGATCGAAATTTATTCGTACTTGCGAGATTTTATACTTTTGAGATTCTGTCATTCGCTATCGAGTAAAGTGTATCGAAATTTCTAATGATGTTACTCGATAACAACCTTGTGTTCGAATGCAACCGTGTGAGTTTTCAGTCGTTAGCAAATTACCAATCGAAATTATATTTTTCAAAGAATTCGTTGGAAGAAAAGAAAATGTAAGACAATTTTATTTTATTTCTTTTGAAAAAATACTAATTTTTATTAATTATTAGGTCGAATACAACAAAAATTAACTTCAGACAAAAGCAAATTCTTGCTGAGTTTATGTCAGAGCACACTGATTTGGCCAAAGGAGTTCTACCAAATACATCACAAGGAAAAGCAACAGCCAATAGACTATGGGAAAACTTAGCCCTAATGCTAAATGCTTCTGGTCCACCATTGAAGGATGCTAAAACGTGGCGAAAGGTTTATAACAACATTTAATATTGTTATATTCATTCATTTAATATTATTTATTCAATAGGTGTATGCAGATCAAAAGCAGTTGGTTAAAAAAAAGGTTTCTTTTAACAAATCCTCCAAAAAAAAAAAAACTGGTGGAGGCCCTTTTGAGGAGAAACACCTTAGCGTAGCTGAGGAGCAAATTTTGGAAGCAGCAGGAATTGAAGTATCTGTAGTAGGCTTGCAAGAGATCCGTTCATTCGGGAAAAAAAATCAAGAAGTATAACAATGTAATTCTTCTGAAGGTACGAGTACATCCCAAGGAAATGAAGCCGACGAATACATTTCGGAAGTAATGGACATCGTAGATAATGAGGAGAATGAAGAGACGCCTAAAAAAGATAGATCACTGCACTTGCCCATTACAAGAAAAGAGCCAAGAGAAACGAAGACGAGTTTATTAAAAAATAATATTAGTCCCAATGATAAATACCATGCTGAAGTTCTTAAAAGATTAGATAAAATAATAGAAATTAAAGAAAGAAAATTAAAAATGAATGCGCAATTACACGACATCAACATGGAAATAAAAAAAATGAGCTTCAAATACGGATAAAGGAATTAGAAAATATTAATCAACAATACTAACGGCCAAGCTTACAATAAAAAATTGGACCACTACCAAGTTTTTAATCTAAAATGAATTACATATTTTTATTTTATCAAACTTTTTTTTGGACCACTACCAAGTTTTTAATCTCACAATGAAATACACATTTTTATTTTAACAAACGTTTTTTTTTTATTTTATTAATAAAAATATATACTTTTAAAAACCTTTATGTATCTTTATTCTAATTGGAACACAACGAATTTTTGATATTATCTCTGATTTTTTTTCCTATTTTAGTTATTTGAGTCTCGTTTCCATTATCCATATCTAGCATTGTACTTTCAACAGGAGTTTGCTGGACATCCTCGTAATTAGGCACTTTGAAGTGAATGCATATATTATGCAGTGCAGCACAAACATTTGAAAATTTTGCCACTTTTTGAGGACTATACCTACTTCTTTTGTCATGGCATAAAATTTTCCATCTCGCTTTTAATATGCCGATGGTCCTTTCTACTACGCATCTGGCTTTAGAATGTATATCGTTAAAACGAGACTCCATTGATCCTTCTTGAGGACTTCGGTATGGGGTTAGCAACCACGGCTCAAGCGGGTAGCCAGAATCACCTTCAAGAATTAAATGTGAATAAAAGCGCTATTATATGTATATATATGTGACAAACATTGTGATAGAAAACAATTCTCACCTAAAAGCCAAAAATTTCGTAAATTGGAGCTATATTTTTGTTCTAAAAGAATTCTTTCCTCAGACTGTTTCCATACAAAAGAATCATGGGCAACACCTCCATACTTAGAATTTATTGCTAAAATTCTGTATTTGTGATCACATATCTACAAAAAAAAATATTTTTAAAAACAATGAACATTTATTAGTAAAAATATTTACTCACAATCATGGAATTAAGGCTATGGAACCCCTTTCTATTAAAAAACATATGCTCATTTGGTGGCTTTTGCAAACCAAAATGAGTTCCGTCTATACAGCCGATTACTATAAGAAACTAATTATTAAATTGTCATACAATAAAGACTTTAACACATACCTCCAGGAATTTTGTATTTTTGCAAAAAGAATTGCTTTGAATCGTCGCAGTTATCGAGATTAAACTCAATAAATTTACTACATAGCTTGCTTTCCATTTCATTCACCACTCTTTTGATTATTTTGGAAAGTGTGCTTTGGCCTACACCAATCAGAAAATCATTTCCGACGGTGTTTTGAAACCCTCCTGAAGCCAAAAGGAATAAAGTTGAGGCCAATTGTATTTTTGGAGGTACTGCTGTCGACAAGTGTGCCACAAATTCTAGCTCGTCAAGAATGTAGTTAAAAGCTTCCTTCGTAACCCTAAAGCGTTTTTTAAACCTGTAAAAAAAATAATTACTATTTATTTTATAAACAAATAGATTAAAACTTACTCACCGTTTGGCAAACTTAATGGGTCACTGGTGTTTCGAATTTCTTTCCTTATTAAACTTACGTTACACTCATCTTCCGATTCGGACGATGAAGAATAAAAAAAAAGATTTGGGTCCATTTTTCTTGTAATATAAATATATAAAACACAAAAAATTCTTTTATTAACTTATATTTGAATTCATATAAGATTTGCGCTTAGAATTTTTTGCAGAGTAAACATATGTTTTTTGTTTACTTTTGTTCTTTAATCTTTTACATATTTCCAGTGTTGAATAACTGTTTCAGATTTTTCCTTTCTAACACTTAAACAACAAATCGATTCGTTTCTTATCGAGTTACATCATCAGAAAAATTCGAACTATCGAAATTAATTTCGATGCTGAATTATTTCGATCACGACTTCCGTAATTAGCCCCCAGGTCTTATAAATGTACTTAGTAATTATTAACACCAATGGAAAAGGCAATATAAAAGATTGCAATGTTACAATTTTATAATAATCAGCAGTAACAATTCTGTTTGTATTGTTTATTTTTGTTTTGGTGGTGTTTTGTTCTTTTATTTTTATTTGTTTACTTTTCGGCCAATGCAAAATACTGGATTTTATGTAAATTCTAATTTATCACAGTTATCAATTAATAAATGAAAACTTCAATTTGTAAATGTTTATACTCAAATTAACTATATGTTTATGCAATAAAAAACCACAATAAACTTTATTTTAAATAATTTTCTATAAAATGTCTCTTTAATAACAAATTGTTGCTTTATATCGAAAGTTATATAGAGCATTATTTAAATTGATTTATTGAACTTTGGGGTTATATTGAACCCAAGTGCTTTAAAGGGTTATTTTTATGTTTTTGTTGTTATTTTAATTATCGGACCATATAATATAAATTTTTGTAATTTTAGTAAATACGACCAATAAATAAATAAATAATATTTCGATATGTTTCAATGAGAATTTCCAAATATTGCAAAATGTGACATTTGGCCTCCAAAGTTCACGACTTAGGATTTCCCGATGTATATCTAATTGCAGGGACATATTTAATATTATCTAATATATAATATTCCGTAAATATTTTGTTTAAAATGTAAAACAGTAAAGAATTAGGACATATTTTCTAAAATATTACAAAATCGAAGGTACAGCTTAACTATAAGAGGTATAGACCTAATTTTTCCACTGTTATATTCCCTAATATAATGACCATAAATCCCCCGGTGATAATTAAAAAATTTTAAAATTTGCTTAACAAAGATTAAAAAGTCTAAAAATGGAGTTTTGAAACTGCCGTGTAAAAAAATAATTAAATTTTATAAATTTTATGTAATAAAATAGTTTTATTAAAATATTTTCCAAAATAGGTTAAATTTTTTTCCACATTTCCTAATCAAGTGCTCTGATTACGTGTCAATGGCCTGGGGAATATTTAATAACTTTTACATTTTTCAACCAATTTTTGTGCTTTACATCTTTTTGAAATACTAAATCTATGTACATTATGATTCTTTAACAATAATATGAAAAATATTTACCTATTAGCAACATTTATCACATAATATCAAAATTAACGCAGTATGCTCCTAACGCGACCAGGTCACGTTTTCGAAGACGAAATCTGTTGTAAGTTTGTTTGACTTGATTTGAATAACATGAATTATGTATATAATATATATTTTGAAGTACAATATAAGCTTTGTTTTGATGTACTAAGCGTGTTTCTGTTATTTACCGATCTGGAGTTAAAGCGTCATATGTTTTTTGGCTAAAAATTTGGATTTTTTTCAAATTTTAAGCGGCACGTGTTAACGTCTTTTAATCGAGCTCAAATTTCGGCCATCTCAATATCTGGAAAGGGGAATCATTTTGTGGGGTTAAGACAAACAATACATCGACTTTTTGCGGTCACTCAAATGTACATAATATGTACTACATATACACTAAAATTGAATGTTTATAAATATTTAATTAAATCATATTGTATTATAAATTTTATACATTACGAATCATAAATACAACAAAGACATGCCATATCCTAGACTTTGATACAACATTTTAAAACGTAAGTATTTTACGATAAAAAGTAATAAATAAAAAATATTCCTTTTATTCAAACTATTAATATGATATTGTTGTTTTTATTGCTTTTTGTTGACGTTGAATATGTATGTATAACATTTAATTTATAACTTAGTGAATCAAAATCTAACAGCAGAAAATTATTAATATAGTTTGTATGTACCCAGTAAAAATTGGAGCTTACATGCAAGCAGGTTTGTAAGGGAACGAAGCTAATTTCTCCCTTACAAACCTGCTTCGATAAGGCATGATTTTTATATAGCGAATTCCCACTTGGAAGCATTCCCACTAGTAAGCTTAAATATTATTTAAATACTTCACTTACAATCTGCTTCTCTGTAAGGGATAGTAGTAAGCTTTTAATTTTTTTCAGCTTACATTATAAAATTACTCCTATCATTGGTATTCCCTTATTTCCTGCTTCTCAGTAAGGCTTAATAGTAAGCGAATACAGATGCAGTTACTTCCCTTTTTAGCTTCCTAAAGTCTAAAAATTTTTTACTAGGTACATAGTTGCATTAATACATTTTTATTAGAGGTGGTCACCAGGGCGCACTGAATACAAGTCAAGAGCAACATTTCCAAAATATATTGTGGCTATCAAATTGTCAAACAAGCATTTAGCAGTTATAGTTCGAAAGAATGAAATAATCAGCTGGGGCATTAACTTCACCTTGTTAAGTTAGTTAAGTAACAAATACAAAATTTAGAAAAACAACAATTTGTCTCTTGTTATAAATATGTATCGCTATAACTATAGGTTTTTAATTTCAGGATTTTTATAAAATGCATTTGCGAGATTGTAAAATTTAGGATTTGTGTGTTTTGTCCACAAAACTTTATTTTTTTTTTTATAAAAAACAACTACTTTATTTGTGGAAAACCAAAATGTGAAAGTCATACATAAAAGTAAATTATATAGAGACACTAGTTATACCCAGTGTGCTTTGCTACCCTAAAAGGAATATGTATAAATAAATACCAGATTTATTATATGTTACATATGAAAGATGTCAAGCAAATTATTGCAAGTTCGCCAGTTTCTATCTATCGCCAATTTCTATCTATCTATAAAAAATTTGAATAATATAAGAGTTTCCAAGATGCACGAAATTTTGTATTTAATTCATATATGTTGTGCCAAGCCACCCATTGAAAGTCCGCCCGTTATGCTCTAAATGTTCACATGAATTTCAAAGTTCTCCATGTAAAATTTGAAGATTCTAGCTCTAATAGTTTCTCAGACATACGATTTTTTCTATTTGATTCATGTGGGGGCTTCAAGACCCCCCAGATGAAAGTCCGCTTTTTTTTCTTCAGATGAATATTTAAGTTCTTCGTGCATAATTTGAAGAATTTAGTTCCATTAGTTTTCCAGATAAACGAATTTTTGTCTTTAATTAATATAGGAGGTGCCGCTCCCCTCATGGGTAGTCCGCCAATTTATTACCAAAAATGTTTAGATGGAAGTTAAAGATTTTCGTGCAAAATTTGAAGATTCTAACTGTAATAGTTTCCAAGATAAACGTATTTTTGTATTTAATTTATATGGGAGGTGCCACGCCCCCTAATGATAGTCCGCCTACTTTTTGTCCTAAATAATTATATTGACACTAAAGTTCCTCCGACAAAATTTGAGGACTCTAACGTTCAAACATACAAACAAACACACATTCATTTTTATATATATAGATAAGAATATACAATTTTTTGTAATTACTTCACGTGAGAGGCACCAAAATTGGGGACTCTAGCTGTTATAGTTTTCTAGATATACATATTTTAATAATTAGATTTTAGTGTTTACTTCATATGGGAGTTGCCACGCCCGCTTTTGCTGAACTCCCTATTTTTGTCCAAAATATTTGTATTTAAACAAAAGTTAGTTGTACAAAATTTGGGGACTCTATACGTGGGACCTCGCTCATTTGAAATTTCAACATAAAAAGCAGTTATAACTCCTTCCAGACATACAGAAAGATATTGTGAAAATTTCAAGAAAATCAGTTTAGCCTTTAAACTGATTAAACAAAAAACCCACTTAACGATTTTGAAAATTCTAACTACAATAGTTTTCCAGATTAACAATATGTTACATATGAGAGATGCCAAGCAAATTATTGCAAGATCGCCAATTTCTATCTATCTATGAAAAATTTGTATTTAATTCATACAGATATATTTACTAACGTTACACATTTCGCATACATTTACCAAAGGTCCTTGGCACTAGTATCATTGCACTTTCCCTAATAACCCAAGAAAATGGTCATAATTTTCAACCCATGTTTAATTTTTGAAGGATAATTGTAATTATATTCCGATTTTCTAGTAAAAATATATACTTAAGATTCCCCAACTGTGCCTTGAACAAGTTCTAATGCGGTCAAATGGCATATCCTTTACAGAAATTCGTAAAAAATTTAAAGTATCCACGAAAGGACATTAAAAATATATTGCTTGTCATCAAATATCAATATTTCAAGAAAATATATTGTTTTTTTTAGTACGTTAAAACCCCATTCCTCTGATAAAAATCAATTTTTGAGGCAGATTTCATAAAAAAGTAAGCAAGTTGTTAATTATTTATATCGTATGTAGAGTGGGACAAAAAGTACTGAGAACTGCCCACTGTTACATATACGTAACACCTTTATTATCCCCTTTATAAGTGTCCGCAAGGACATGGTACATGTTTATAAACAATTAGGT